AAAAAAAAAAAAAAAAAAAAACCAGCTGAGCATGAGTCTGAGAAGGAGCCAGCAAGCAGTGTTCCTCCACTGCCTCTCCTTCGGGTTCTTGCTGGAGTTGCTGACTTCCCTCAGCAATTGGTTGTAACCTGTGAAATGAAGTAAGTCCGCGCTCTCCTTAGTTGCTTTGGCCATGCTGTCGGACACAGGGACCGAATGGAACAGAATGGAGGAGTAGATCGTCACTCTCCTCGGTGCTCTTGCTACACCCTTCTCTCTGCCTCCTGGCCACGCCGGTCGTTTTGGAAGCTGCTGGACTGTGCTCCCATCTCGATACCAGCACTGTCAATTTCCAAGTTACAGCTGCTTTCTTTGTGGCTTCAGCTTGCCCCCAAGGTGTAGCCCAGTCAGACTCTGTATCCCATTTCCCACCTGCCTGCTCTGCTCCCCTAATGCAGATGTCCCACTGAACCACTGAACTTGACCTCCTCTTCACACCTTACCCACTGTGACCACACTGCCCTCAGCTCCCACCACTGTCAGTCACACGCCTTCACTCACAGCCTCCAACTATAACACTGACCACAGCTCTCCATCTACGCTGCCCAGCACCCTAGTGGCTGAATGTGGAAGACTCTGCCTGACTCTTGAAAGAAATTTCTCTATTCACTGATTCACTATTTCTTGAACCTACCCCAGCCAGATTTTCCCTTCCACCATTCCACCAGAAACCCAGTAAGGACTCAAACCAGGAGCGTCATCCTCATCTGACGCTTAATGTGATATAATAGGAAATTAATGTGCTCCTTAAGCCTGGCTTTCAGAACCCTCCTATGTTCCTTCTCTGGTGGTTTGAGTGGGGATGGTTCCCATAAACCGAGGTCTTTGAGCACCTGGTTCCCAGTAGGTGGCGCTGTTTGAAGAGGTTTGGAGGTGGAGACTTGCTGGAGGATGTCCCTCTCTAGGGGCGGGTTTTGAGAACTCAGAGCTGTGCCCAGCTTCCTGTTTTCTCTCTGTTGGTGTTTGCAGTTGAGAAATGATCTCGCCATTTCCTGCCCTGGCCTCCTCTTGCACCATTATAGACTCCCCTCTGGAGCCAGAAGCCAAAATACAATCTTTTTCCTGTAAGGCACCTCTGGTCATGGTGTCTTGTCACAGGGTGGTGGTTTGAAATAAAATGGCCCCCAAAGGGCGTGGTGCTATAAGGAGCTGTGGCCTTGTTGAAGGAAGTGTGTCACTGTGAAGGTGGGCTTTGAAGCTTTCTATACTTAGGATACCACACAGTTTGGCTGTCAGTTGATTTCCTGTTGCCAGCAAGATGTAGGACACTTCTCCAGCACCATGTCTGCCTGCATGCCGCCACGCTCTCCGCCATGATGGACTGAACCTCTGAACTGTAAGCCAGCCACCACAATTAAATGTTTCCTTTATAAGAGTTGCCGTGGTCATGGTGTCTCTTCATAGTGATAGTAACCCTAACTAAGACACACAGCAACAGAAAATAATTGGTTCGTTTTCCTAGTATCATCTCTGTTCAAATTTTTCTTGCTGGGGGATTCCTATAGTAAATCCTCACTCGAACTTTATACCAGCCTTTGTTCTATTTAAAGGTGATGAAACCGAGTCAGAGAGGAACCAGGCAACTCACCAGACTTGTCAATGGTAAAGCCAAGATGTGTCTTTCTCTCCCCCTTCCAGGTCTCCCCCATCCAGTCATCCATCATCTCATCCATCCACTCCTCTAATCATCTGTCTCTGTGACTCTCCCCAATGCTTTCCCCCACTCTGGCCATCTGCTTCTTCGTCTGCCCGGGCACCCACACTGCAGCTACCTGTCCTCTCCTAAGACTCATCATCATCCATGTCTCCCACAGTGGGGAGGAAGTTGGAGACAGCAGGAGGCAGACACACTGGCATGCAACTTGGGTCTAGATATTTACTCAATGCTTCCAGATTTGGCCTTAGTGGCTCAACAAAGGGCAGGGACAGGGAGGGGACACACAGGACATCCTTCAGTCACTGGAACTTCTGGAAGAGGCAGGTCTTGAAGTGTCCGTTGCCAGTGATGACTGATCAGTTGGAACTGCAAGAGACAGACATTTAGCACTTCACGCTGCAGACCGAGCACCCAC